GTGTGTGTGTGTGAGAGATGCGGCAGCAAACAGCTCGCCAACAGCAAGAGCTTGCACAGGCTATGGCTGCCTTGGAGAAGGGCAAGTCACCTCCGCATTTGGCTAGACATGCTTGACCGGTAGTCAATGACGGGTACGACCCTCTCATTTGCATACCAACCTAAGGCAGACCGACAACCATGATGTTGCCGAGTTGATGACGGGTAAGGATGCCAAGTGAAAGAGGGCAACCTAAGCCAGGCACGGTCCCTTGGCCTCCCTTGGTTTATTAAAACAAAAAGGGGGAGATGTGGGAAGCGAGCACAGCCGAGCCAGCCAAAGATGGAGCCCTGGCTGGCTGCCAAACCTCGTGCTGTTTACTTCAACTCTTGGCTGATTGCCAAGGCTCGTGAATCCCGCTTGTTTACCCCAACTCTGAAGTATGGTGAGCCCCAAAACAGGTGCTGCCAGCCTGATGATCTTGCTACGTGCCTATGAGCTACACTCTGCCTGGCCGCTGCACGTGTGTGAGCCCTGATTGGTACCGGCTGGGGGGAGGGCTGTTGGAAATGCTATATAAAGAGCTGAAGTGTGTAATAGACAGAGAGAGAGACAGCATCATAGGAGACAGCATCATGAGAGACAGCATCATAGTGAAGAGAATATGAGAGAGAATATAAGAGAGAATAAAGGAAGAAAGAGAAACAGAAGCTTGAACCTCACCTTGGTGTCAGTGTCGTTTTTCCTCGGCTCTGCTGGACAGAGTCGTGGCTCGTGACACTAGGTCAGTGAAAGAACCTGTCTCAAAAATTGGTGGGCAGTGCTTGAGAAATGACATTCAACATTGTCATTGTATTTCTGACTCAAAGCCTCACTCACTGTAGGTCTGTATCTGTGGTTCTCCAGTTGTGAACCCTGGACCATTAGCATCAGTGTTACTGTGAGATGATTAGAACTATAGATTCCCAGACTTCATCCCAGACAAAACAAGTGTGAGACTGCAAGGAAAAGACCCAAAAATTCATCTTAACAACTCAATACATTTGACGCACCTGTAAATTTCAAAACTGTCATCTTACATAATACATGTTATTGATATTGATGGAGAAAGCAGAAAATATAGGCCCTCTGAAGGCTGCCTCTGTTCTGTAGCAAACTTCTCCGAGAATCGTAGTCCACCCTCACTTTCCTTGGGAGTGCAAGAATGACCGTGTACTTCCAACTTCACTCCTAGATACATTTTCTGACAGTTAAGACAACACTTAGCACCTTGGCTGAGTAGTTGCTTTGGTATAGGGAAAATATTGCAACATTTTAGACAGTGTGAAATAGCAGGTAGAATGGAAAATGGAGATTTCTGGGTCAGATCTTGCCTTGCATGCCAAGAATGTTGGATTTTAGTTGGTCTTGGAATGTTTGAGGTGATTATGGAGAAAGTGGGCATGGAACCAAGACAAATGATCACTTAACAGCAGACTTGTGCCCAAGGATGGGATCAGGAAAATACTAAAAATTATGAGGAAGGAGAAGGAATAATCTAGAAACAGCAATATCAGAACTAAATGAGGCAGCCTAGTACAGAGTTCCAGGATGTACATTTGATCAGTTTTGCTCTGCTAACTTAAGAATTCAATTGTCTGGGATTCTTGCAGTCAATCTCCTCTAAGGTTTTATTAAAATCTTTTCCAGTGCATCGATAAGTGACCTGAAGTGATTAAGTTACACCCGCAGGTTAATTCCAGTTCACCTGGAAGTCAGTGTGTGCTGTGTGCAGCTTGCAGAGCTGCTGTTTTGCTCACCTTGAGAAGAGCAGGTGATAAAACACGGCTGAAAATATCATTATGATTTATTAGAAATATTTCTGTGAATTGTTATATCTGTAATCATCTCATAGAAGAAACAAACTATTTAAAAATTATTCCTACATTTTAAGATCTATTTTATTTCCAAATGTCTTCTTTGTTGACATTTAAAATTTAAGTAATCTTGAAAATTTACACTCATTCTGTAGTTCCGTGCTACCAGTGCAATTCTTTTAAAAGATACTCTTCAAACTGTAGGTTAATAATCTATTTAAAGAGTATGAGAATAATGCAGGATGATAATTGCCTCAAAAGTTTATCTATTGAGCTGCCACATGAGCCAGAAGTTCCACTTCTGGGTATCTACTGAAGATAATTAAAAGTACAGTCTCAAAGAGATAGTCACCATTGTGTATTCATGATGGTCACTAAAAGAAGGAAACAGGCTGGAGGGATGGCTCAGTGGTTAAGAACACCGACTGTTCTTGACTGTTTTTGCAGAAGACCCGGGTTCGAATCCCAGCACCCACATGGCAGCTAATGACTGTCCTTAACTCCAGTTCCAGGGGAATCCAAAGCCCTCTTCTGACCTCTGCAGCATTGCACGACACAGGTGCACTTACCTACATGCAGGCATTGCACTCATATACATAAAATAAAAATAATAAATAAAATACTTTAATGAAAAAAAAGAAAAAGGAAACAACCCAAATGTCTTTTGACAGATGAATGGATAAATAAAACGGGCAAGTATAAGATAGATTACTACGTCCAGGATGAAGTCTATGAGTCAACACTTTTAATAAGCTCACCGTAAAACTGATGGTGATGGTCTAGGGTTCACACTTTTCTTTTGTCTTAAAAAAGAAGGATATTTGAAAATGCTACAACATGAACCAGTTTGGAGGACATTACTCTAAATGAAATGTACGAAGCAGAAGTCATATTTTTATGGTCATATTCCATTTACACACATTACATAGAGTAGTCAAATTTTTTGAGAAGGGAAGTAGAATGGAAGTTTCCAGGACTGTGGAAGGAGGGAATGGGAAGTGAGTATTTAATGGCTGTAGAGTTTTAGTTTGGAAAGATGAATTAGTTCTGTTGATGGAGGGTGGATGAACATTGTGCCTGCTGGTCCTGTGCTTAACCATGGTAAGCTTTATGTTCCATCTGTTTTACACAATAAAATGCTTCGAGGTAAATCTTCGGTGACTATTTTAATACAATTGTTTTATTATTTATTCTGTGGAGGGGCATGTGCATGACACAGTGCATGTGTGGAGGTCAGAGACCGCTTTCAGGTGTTGTTTCTTCCCTTTTAGCTTGTTGAATCAGGGTCTCTTTCTCTGGACTGTGCACTCCAGGCAAGCTGGCCGGCAAGCTCCCAGCCTGTTCTATTTCTGCCTTCCATCTCACCATAGGAGTGCTGGGATTACAGATACGTGCCATTGCATCCAGCTTTTTAATTTGTGGGTTCCTGGGTTATATGAATTCCGGGGATCGAACTCAATTCCACAGACTTGGGCAGCAAGCTCTTTGACTTGTTGAGCCATCTCCCAGGCCCATAATTGTTTTAAAATATAGTCAGTAATAATAATAATAAGCATATTTATGCAACATGCACTTATTTGTCTGAGTGCTTTTCTAAAATTATCCTTTTAGAGTTTCACAACCTTCTCAGATTATTATTTATACCCCTACTTCCAGTTCTGGAGAATGCAGGACTGAGAAAAGCAATAGGCAGACAAAAACATTTCCAGGTTCTCTCTGTAAATTCCACTTTTCATTCACGTACTTTTGATCATACAGAGGATATGATTGATGTGATGTGGTTAGGGTATGTATGAAATGTTGAAAAAAAGTGGTGATGTATGTCCTTTTTGAGAAAGTACATTTCCTGCCAAACCCTGAATATTTTGGGTGGGGTGGGAGGTGGGGGGGTGGTATAACTTGCTGAAATTGCCAAAAGAAAAGCATGTTATTTTAGCAATATTTGCTATTATATTCATAATACTTGCAATGCTTGCTTTATTATACATATACATTAAATTCAGCAGCCTGTTTACCTATGATGTTTTGTTTTAGTATGTGGAACTTGAATTTGCAACGGTTTTTGTATGTACCTTTTCAAATATGTAGAAGATGGCCTTATTTACTGTTACCTTGGAAACAGCAATGCCCAAATGCTATGCTTACACTTCTTAGTACAATTAAAAATCACTTTATGGAGCAAATGTAATTTAAAATATTATCCTCAAGCATAGATTTTAATTAACCTTAATTGTATGAAATATGTAATGATAGCTGGTGTTAAAATTATTTGGAAAACTAAATATAGTTTTCTAAAGGAAAATATGCCAATGCCTTAGAAACCTCTTCTTAATCAATACACGCGTCACTGTCTTTTCCTCTACAAGTTAGGTATGGATATTCTGAATATTGCTTGACCATCTTAGTTGTGTGTATGTGCATGGATTCGATGTATGTATGCAAGGGTATGTGTATGCTGTAACACATGTAGAGGTCAGAGGACAACCTTGGGTTTCAATCCTCACCTTCAACCTTGCTTGAAATAGAATCTCTTTGATGTTTACAACTGTTTACACCAGGCTAGCCTATGAGCATGCAGTAATTCTGTTGTCTCTACCTCTCATAATGCAAAGGAGCACTGGAATTACAGTCATTCCTTACCGACTCTTCGCTTTATGTGGGGTCTAAGAATTTGAACTCAGGCCCTCATGCCTGTATAACAATCACTTTTTACCAATGAACCATTACTCCAGTCCTGTGATTAATATGAAGTTAAAGAATACTGTCTCCTTTGTTTGAAAAATTTCTTAATTATTGATAACCTTGGAGAACCTCTTATGAATTACTGCTTTTTCAGTAACTTTGCAGAGTGACCCGAAAGCATGTTTTCCTCTTCTTGTATTTTCAGGACTCCACTATTGTCACCCCAATTATTTTGAGGACTGATCCTCAGGGATTTTTCTTCTACTGGACAGATCAAAATAAGGTAAGAAACGAGACATTTCTTTCTGACATTGTCCTGTTGGTTAGTGGCATACAAAGTATTTATTCTCTTATTTAAGCCTGTCCATTTCACAGGTGACCTTTTACAATTTTCTTGAGAACTTCACTTGCAGAGAAGGTCTGACGCCAAATGCCATAGAACTGTTCATAAATACTAATTTGAAGCGGTGGTCCTGGAATAATTGGTGTTTTGAGCTTAGGAGAAGAACTCGGGCTTGCAGATTGCATTTGGCAGAGAACATGATTCCATGCACTCGTTGAGTCGTTTCCTTGCAGACTGAGAAACATGATGAGAAAGTTCCTTTTGACCTTAATGACCAAGGCTGGGCATTTCCTTTCTCCCTTCCCCTAAGCTATCCATCATTAAAGGTTTTCCTGGTAGACCCATGAATTTTGCCTTGATAACTTACTTATGCTAAAAACATTTTAAGGATACGATTCCTTTAATTTTTCCCTTCAGTTTTCAAGAATCTTCCTAAATTAGCTTTCTGCCCACAATACCAAGAATTTAGTTGCTCATTTCTTATAAAACCAATTGACAATTGCATATTGAATTATTAAAAAGTAGAATGTCTGCAGATCATAAGATTTATTTGAGGTTTAATGAGCAATTGGAGAAGACTATTCAGAGGAAGTGGTTATTATTTCAAGAGTCACTGGCACCTAAAAGGCCAGCACACAGAATATTTTGGTCATCAAAGTTCTGATACCTAGAGAGAGAGGATAGAGTTTTATGAGAGTGCTAAATAGACTTAGAAACCCATGGAACAGAAATGGAATACTCTTAGAGCATCTGGGAGCTCCCCAACTACTGTGGAATTAGGTTCCTATTACTCGCTTTAGAAATGCCATGTTAAATCCTGCGCACCCAAAGACCTTGGGATAGTCAGTCTCAGCTGTGCCTCGGGTAGCCTGTTACACTTGTGAGCAGAGGAACAGGCCCTGCAGTGCCATGGTTAGAGATGTGGGTCCTGGGGGGAGCTTTTCCTGTACTGAAAAGTAATGTCTGGTCCCAAGGCCAGCCCTGAATGGGCCTATTCACAATGTATCAAAAGGCAAATTCCAGCCTAGTGGTCCTGGAGTTACATTCTATCTACTGTGTGTGTGTGTTCTGGAAGCATCTGCGGCCACAGATGTGGAAGTAAAACATAGATCCTATGCCAATGTAAAAAATTATATGTGGGTAAAATCTCATACTTAATGTTCGTGTTTATTACGGGGTGTGTGAATCACTTTGGCTTAGACAATTCTGTTTGGTTTCCTGCTGTTATGTATAAAACAATGGCTTGAAAGAGGTTTTGTTTTTTGTGATTTTATTTCTCCTCCCAAAGACTATTTTTAGAATGGTTGCAGCTATATTTGTGAAAGATTTATTTGTAATGCCTAGAGCATTTCTAAAGGTTGGGTGTTTATACAAGAGACTAAACTATCAGTTTGATTTTTTCAGCTTGTAAATCAAGTTTCCATAAAAGCAGCAGAGGATATTTTGAGGTTTTTAAATAATTCATGGCAACTCAGTTAAGCTCTTCTGGAAGACTAATCATAAATGTTTCTTTGCTTGAGGAAGAGAGGGTTTAGGACCAAAGACTCTTTGATACATCTCTATTGTTCTGTAAGCCCAATATTTTGACCCAGGCTTATTTTCAAATGTGGAATAATGTCTTTCAGTATTTCACACCAGCCTTTCCCTCTTGGTAAGGATGCTGTTTGTAACCAATGGGAACAAATAATGGGGGAGGGGGAGGACCCCTTCGGTCTCTTTATTGCTTACCCAAGAACTGGTAAACTTTACTTTTCACTCCTTAGATCCATAAGTCACCCCTCAGTCATTTATCAGTTTGGGAGTTTATTTTTCAGTCAATAATCGTATGTTGTAGACTCTAAATGATGAGAAAATTTAAGAAAATAATAATAAAAAGCTTACCACATTCTCAAGTTTGTCATTTTCTTTCTGGCTTTAAGCCCAGTTCTGGAACAGAATCAGTGATGCGTCCACTTTTGGGTTGTGGACAAGTGTAAACAATGTATTAGAGTCAGTGCAGGGTGAACGATACTACACACAAACAAATGGCAACACGCCAGGCTTTTAGTTGAGGCTGTGCATAAGATCGTTTTTAAAAGGCCAAGTGGTGCGGTCATGATGCTGCTTAGTGGGAGTCCTTCTTTAAAGTTTTTTTTTTTTTTTTTTTTTTTTTCTGGCAATTAGTCTTAAGAATCTATCACCTGCTTTATAGACATCTCTCCTCAGAGAAAAGAACACAGTGCTGTCAAGGCTGCCCTTTGATTTTACACAGCTGTTTTCCATGGTTGGAGTCTTGCACTGGTATCTATTGTATTTATTGGTATTTATGCCCTTCTTTCTGAGGCTTCTCTCAGTATTTTCTGCCTTTGGTCCATGAAGCTTGTATGGAAGCATCTTGATTAGCAATCACCCTAAGCCTCTTGTGTTCACAGGCAAGCTGAGTGGCTTAGAAGAGCTTTCCTTTTATAGCACTGGAAGAAAATCCTCACAGTTTTGGGGTCTAATCTGTATCCTTTTCTTGTCATGGCTACATCATGCCTTGTGCCAGAGCCACTGATTTCAAGCTGCTGACTTCTCTCTATAGACAGTGACATGCTGCCTTCCCCAACCGCTCCTATGACTTGTCACCATAGAAATGATAGGTACAAAGACAGATAGCACAGATGATAGGCTTCAGAATTTAAAACCAGAGCTAGCAAGTCATTTTTAGGGAGCTGAAATGTGTTTAGTGAAACGTTGACAGAATGTTTGGGGATGGTGTAAGCAGATGAATGTGAATATCACTTTTAAGGCTAACTGTTCATACTTTGTACCAGCGCTGGACTTATTTTGACAATTCTTTCTACTTACTGTTGGCTCTAAAAAGCTTATTGAATATAATTAGCAAAAACGAATTACTGAATATATTATTTTAAGCACAGTGACTTTTCTGCTTTAAGCATAGATTATATGAGGAGAGTGTGTTTATTTCTAAGTCATGAGTGAGAAAGAGTTCCTGCCCACCCCAGTCCTGAAGAGGTTGCCTACATTAGAAGATGCCATGCAGACACCAGAAATCCTAACAGGAAGTGCAGCCATGAAAATCGTGGAACTAGGAGAATCTGAGGAAGGAGTCAACCCCAAACCGGCCCTATGGTGTGAAACAGGAGAACTTCGCTTTGCAATTCAATCCCCTGGTTCCTGGCCAAGTTTGGTGTAAAAATAAAACAAACTTAGACTAGTTCTTAGCCTAGAAGTTCAATGAAGTTGAGCAAACCCTTCCCTCTTTCCCCATAAAAGGAACCTCAAGGAGGGAAAAAGTATCAGCATAAGAAATTTAAAAAGGAATGAGAGGGAAAAAACAAGCATTTTTAATTAAGGATTTTTACTACCATTTTTTACAGGTTTTAATTTTTGTTTTGCAGGTAATAAATATTTTCTTTTTGGTGGCAAAGCAACATGGTACAAATATGTTTAATGTCATCCAATGATCCCAATCCTAGTCTTTTTTCCAGAGTCAGCTATTGGTTGCACCTTCCTGGTATATTTCTGGGTTTCTTTCCTGAGTTTGAGCATGTGTTACTGTGGAGACACTACATTTTGTGTGTTCACATCCATTTTTATCCTATCATCATCTTATTTTTGTTGTTCCACAACTTACTTTTTAGTTCACAGTCTGTCTTGGAGAAATTTTCATGTATGAATATATGTTATTCTTTTATATTGCCCCATTGTGTACAAAAGATTGGATTGCTGACTTTTATTTAATGTTAAGAAAGTTCCTCTTGGTGGACTCTTGGTGTTTATTTTTTTCTAATTTGGGGCTACAGCAAACATTGCTACAATACAGAGCAATGGCCAGCCTGGTGTGCCTTTCTCTCGGTATGTGGGTCAGGGGTTCCCTAAGGGAAATGCTTTTTTACAGTTGTTGGTTGTAGGTTATACATATTTTAAATTTCAGTCTTTGGCTATTCCATTGTTTAATTCTACCAGTCTCATGTGAGAGGAACTGATTTCTCAAGTTCCAATCGGCACTGTTAGGAAACATTTTAACTTTCACCTATCTGATGCAACTGTTCTATCTCAGACTTAATCTGCCCTAACTGGATTTGCCAGTAAACTGAGCATATTTTCACACATTTATTGGGCATTTCTATTTTGGGTTACTTGCTATATCTTCTGCTCTCGTGCTGATACTTCTCCTTGTATTCTAGACGTTAATACTGGCTGCTATGAATGTTGTAAATATATTCTTTCTGCCTGTGACTTGTCTTAAATTTCCTAACATCGAATAACAATAAGATGACTTGATGTTTGAAGTTTGATGGAGTCACATTTCAAAGGGATTTCCTGTCATCATTCTAACTCACTATTGTGTCATATCAGTGACCAAGGTTTTAAGCCACACGTAGTGGGCACAGGAATGGTGGGAGATGGATCTCTAAGTTTAATTTCTCCAAATACATTGCCTCAGGGGTGGCTTCTACTTCCTAGTTGTATCTGACCAGGGAAGAACCTCACAGCACCCTTGGGACTTTCTTCCTGGCTTAGAATATGAAGGGTAGGTGAAACCTGCAAAGGTGGTTGGACCTAACTTTACTGCTCCTTTGTCCCCTGGCCCCCATCTCTACCACCTGCTTTGAGTATCTCGTGTGTTCCCGTGTGTGTATCAGAGCCTGTGGACTTCTAGACACACGTCCTCTTGTGTGTTGGAGTCTGTGGACTTCTATTTCATGTGTTCCCTCCTATATATCACTGCCTGTGGGCTTCACTGTCATTCTCTGCTTTGTTCGGAGCCACCAGAATTTGTATTTTCAGGTTCAGGAAGAGCAGCCCTTTTTGTTTTCCTGTGAGACATCTAGATTATAGACATATATTTCTACTTGCATATTGAAAAAAATATTTTTCTTAGTTCTTTAAAAATTCTATACAATGGGGCCTGGAGAGATGGCTCAGTGGTTAAGAACACTGACTGTTCTTGC